TGAGACAAGGTCACACTAAGTAGTTGAGGCTGGGCTTGAACTGACTGTATACCCCTGACTGGCCTCAGACTTGTGGCAATCCTCCTGCCTCAGCCTCCTGTGTGCTGGGTTACTGGCATGTGCCACTATGTCCAGGTTCTACCACCTGTCTTGAAGGATAGTTTTCTGGACATAAAATTCAAGTTTGATAGTTTTTTATTATTATTATTACACTAAAGATACTACGCCTCCTTTTCTATCTTCTATAGTTACAGTGAGAAATCTATCACTCTTGTGGATTGTGGGTTCTTTGCACAGGATGTTTCATTTCTCCCTGGTCCTTTAAGATGTTCTTAGTGTTCTGCAGTCTGACTGCGACACGCCTGCGTGTGAACTTATTTATCCTGTTTGGTATACATTGTGATTCCTGATTGTATGAGCTAATTACTTAGTTCTCAAAAATTCACAGCTTTAACCTCCAACAACTTTGGATTCCCTACATTTTATCTTTCCCAGGACTGCAGTCTTTCTTAAGACTCTGGTCTCTTAATATCGCTCCTATTTTCTGTTTAATCATTCTCTATACTGCTTTATGGAGAGTTACTTATTTTAGTTTTTTCTTCTGTGGCAGGGTCTCTCACTATGATGCCTAAACTGGCCTCTTAACTCCTTGGTTCAAGGGATCTTAGCCTCCTTCCAACACCCATTCAAGATAAAAACCCTATAGCAAAGAGGCATAGATGGTTTGTATCTCAATCTGATAAAAGCCATCTGTAACAAAACAGCAGCCAACATCATACTAAATGGACAAAACCGGAAAGCTTTTACTCTAAAAATCAAGAATGACAAGTGCAAGGACAAAAGTTCAATCCTCAGTACAAAAAAAAAAATCAAGAATGAGACAAGGAGGTCCACCGCCACCACTCTTGTTCAGTATAGTTCTGGAAACATTAGCCAAAGCATTTAGACAAGAGAAAGAAATAAGAGGAATAAGGATAGGAAAGGAAGAAGTTAAATTAACATTATTTGTGGATGACATGGTACTCTACATAGAAGACCCCAAAAACTTCACCAAAAGACTTCTAGATTTAATAACCAAATTCAGTAGCATAGCTGGATACAAAGTCAACACTCAAAAATCAACAGCAGGTCTCGCAAACACAAGGTCTTGAGTTTGATCCCTGATAGCCACCCCCCATATCAACAGCAGGCCACGCATGTGGTGCACCTCTGTAATCCCAGCACTTGGGAGGCTGAGGCAGGAGGATCTCTGTGAGTTCAAAACTAGCTTGGGCTACTCAGTTCAAGGCCAGCCTGAACTACATAGCAAGACCCTGTCTTAAAAAAAAAAAAATCAACAGCATTCCTATACACAAATAACTCCCTGAGAGAAAAATTAGGGAAAGAATACCTTTTAAAATAACATTAAAAAAATTAAAAGGAAAAGAAGACTTAGAAATCAATCTAACAAAGGAAGTAAAAGATCTTTGCATGGAAAACTATAGTACTCTGAAAAAAGAATCAAAGAGGATATTAAAAAATGGAAGAACACGCCCTGTTCTCGGATAGAAAGAACCAATACAGTGAAAATGGCCATACTTCCAAAAATGTTATACAGATTTAATACAATCCCAATCATAATACTGATAGCATATCTCACAGAATTAGAGAAAACAATCCTAAAATTCATTTTGAACCAAAAGAGATCTAGAATAGCAAAAGCAATTCTGGGCAACAAAGCCAAGGCAGGGGACATCAAAATCCTTGACTTGAAACTATACTACAAAGCTACTGTGATAAAACAGAATGGTGCTAGCAAAAACAGGCCAGAAGATCAATGGAACAGATTAGAAGACCCAAAACCAACTCCAAACACACTCCGCTATCTTCATCTTTGACAAAGGAGCCAAACACCTTCACTGGAAGAAAGCCTCTTTAATAAATGGTGCTGAAAAAACTGGCTTTCCACATGCCAAAGATTAAAACTAGACCCATCATCTTTTACCATGCACTAAACTAAAATTGAAATGAATAAAAGATCTAAATATAAATATAGAAACATTTAATTTGCTGGGTAGAATAGGTAGAACTCTTGAAGACACTCGTGTAAACCAAGACTTTATGAACAAAACCCCAACTGCACAGGATATATCATAAAGAATGAAAAACTGAGATTTATCTCATTAAAAAGCTTTTTGCACAGCAAAAGAAAACTCCTACAGAGTGAAGAAACAACCCACAGTGTGGGAAAAAAATTTCCCAGCTGTTCCTCAGACAAAGGACTAATATCTAGAATATATAAAGAACTTAAAAAAAAAATCAGACCTCCTAAATTTAAAGACCCGGCCCCAAAACGGGCATACAAAATGAATAGACACTTCTCAGATGAATAAGTAGAAATGGTAAATAAATGTGAAAAAATATTTAACATCACTGGTCATTCAAGAGATGAAAATTAAAACAACTCTCAGATTGCATCTCCAGAAAAAATGGCTGCTATCAAGAAATCAACCAATAACAAATGCTGGTGCTGCCGTGGGGAAAAAGGAACCCTTCTCCGCTGCTGGTGGGAGTGGAGACTGGTGCAACCACTGTGGAAACCAGTGTGGAGATACCTCAGAAAAGTAAAATTAGAAGTTCCACTTGACCCAGCTATTCCCCTTTTTGATATCTTCCCAAAAGAATTTAAAGCATCACACGGCAGTGATATATGTGCACCTATGTTCATAGTGGCAGTGTGTAACAGCTAAATCTCGGAAACAGCCCGAATACCCATCAACTCATGAATAGACCAAGATTTTTTTATACAATGGAGTACTACTCTGCTATAAAGAAGGATGAGCTTGAGACGTTTATAGCTAAATGGATGCACCTGAGACCATACTCTTAAGTCAGATAAATTGGACACATATGTTTAAATACCGCATCGTTTCTCTGAGAAACTGAAAATGGAAATAAGGACTAAAATATATAATAGATATTGGGAAACAGGAAGAAAATGTTCTTATGAGAAGAGGAACAACTGA